GCATGAGATTGGACGGGCAAGAGGAACTTTATAGCAGGTTTTGTTTTGTTCTTTTTTAGATTTAAGAGCACTTTAGGAGGGAAAGTCGATAGTTGGAAATGGATGTGAAGCGAGTGGGGAGGAATCTAGGATGCCTCTAAGGTGTTAGCTTGGATGACTAGATACTGAGAATGCAGGAGATGTTGGCTAGGGAGCAGAGGCAAGAGGAAGTGAAACACCTATGGAAATTAGACTGGGGGGTGTGTGCGTGTGCGCGCGCGTGCGTGCGAGTGTGTGTTTTGTTCTGACAGCAAGCGGGGCAAAGGTAAAAGTTCAAGATGCTATCACTGATATAAAGATAGAGTAATAGATGAATACTGACAAGGTAGTCAAGGGAGAAAGTTACTGGGAAGAATGCAGAAACGAGAATCCTGAGGTAATATAAAAGAGATAAAAGGTTGCTTTGTAAAATTACTGCTGAGAATGAACTGTCAGAAAATCTAAGAGAATATTGAGAGGGAGGAGAGAATTTTAAGAATGGGGGAGTTGTCAGTAGTGCCATGGTATTGAGGGGTTCCAGTATGATATGTGACAATTAGGCTTCCCCAGGATACTTTAAGTTCAGATTGTAAGGACAGGTTAATAAGTGTATTGGTGAATAAAATGTTATAAGTTACTCTTTGAAGGGAAGGAGAAAGACTACTGCAGCAGCAGGGATTTGCGTGGTTAAGGGGGAGTGTTTAAAGTGAAAAAAATAAAGTAGAGTTAACACTTTTTCTTTGAAAAACTAGGAAAGATCGAAGATAAGGAAAGGTTATAAATTATTGTATGTAAGGACATGCTGAATGAGAAGGGCACATTTGAAGGAACTGACTTACCAGGAAGAAGGAGATGGACATTTCATCCTTTTTAACATTGAAGGGCAAGGTGGAGGGAGACGTGGAAATTAAGGGAATTCCATCCTGCTGGCCTGTTTTCCTTTCTCCCGCACCCAATTCAAAGCAAGACTCTATGTGTGGTATAAGGGGGGAAGAAAGGCTTGGAAATTTATATCAGTGAAGGGAGAGAGCGGGGTCAGACATGGTAAAGGATTAATGGATGGCTTTGAGATCCCAATGGAGAATGCATAAAATAAATGCATGTTTTTATAATTTTTTTCAGCAGGGCTCAGTAGCAGAGAATAATAGAGCAGGAGAAGTATGGAGATTTGTGGGACAGGTGCAGCAAAACGCGGAGGGCTTGAGCATGCATAGAAATACTAGTCCCATGGGGTGGGTGGGGTGTATGTATGTGTGTGTGTCAGTGTGTCAGAGTCAGGCTTTAGGTAAGGTCATGAAAGGGAATAGAGCTAAAAGGTAGGGTAATAAATGGGAAGAAAATGTCAGGGTTAGTGGTTTCAGTTAGATCAAGTATAAATATGGAAGAAGTTAATTTGCAGTAAGAATATTTGCACATGAAATATTTAAATGTATATTTGAAATAATAGTCTTTGGTTGAAATATTTACGTTTTATTTTCATGAGAAATGGATTTGACTCGAATGATTTTGCCATAGGAAAATGTGTCCATGGTAGGGCTGCTTTTTTGCTTAGTATTAGTGTTAATATATTTTTATTTGTGGTATTAGTTACTGATGAGCTTGTTATTATTGGTTTCTCCTCAAAAAATCCATTTCACTTATAATTCTTAATTGATGTCTTGATTTGCAAAAGTAGAAAGTGTAAGTGAACAGGTTTTATTTTGTACTGAAGAGTTTATCAATTTGAACTGAATTTTAGAGAACTTTTGCCCTCTTAATGCCTCATCAGGAAAGGAACTCTAATTACAATCTTGGGTGCTCAATCTTTGGAACTTGGGGAGCTTGTTAAAAATACAGCTAGCTGCCATCCCTACCCCAGATCTATTGAATCAGGATTGGGGTAAGGGTAGGGGTAGGTGGTCTGTAAATTTTAAAAATTCTAGAAATACAACCTGGACTAATGTTTAAGGAGCAAATGAAAACAATTCAAAGGGTACCTTAGATGAATTTATTGACTTTTAATAATGATTCGAACATGCATTTTTATATTAATTATAAAAGCAAAAATAATGTTTAAAAAACTAACAAAAAAGTAATGGATAAATTCTTAGAAGTGGGATTGCTGAGTCAGATTTGCATATTCTTTATTGGCAGTATTCATTCCTAATAACATTCTTTCAGAAAGGTGTTACCAACTTATTGATCATTACATTACCGATCATCAGTAATCAATATAAGAATGATTCTCCACATTCTTAGAAATACCGGCATTATCTCTTAAAGGTTTGCAAATCAGATTGTTAATTTAAAATTTTTCAATTGTTGTCAGTAAGATTGTATTGTAGATGTTTTTGCATGCTTTATTGCCTTTATTTTTGTTGATCTAGTTAATGCTGAATTCTAAATTATTGGGAGTAGGGAAGCAGCTCATAGTGGTCCTCCCACACTTCTGTTCTCTTGACTGTTCTCCTTTTTCCATTATAATCAGAACTACACTTCTAATTAGCGGTTCTTAACCTTTGTTCTACTCTAATATTTGGATCAATTAAAATGATTCTCATTTGTGGCTATCGTCTCTTTAGAGGTACTATAGTTTGCAAAGGGTCATTGGAATTTCTCTCTCTACACGGTAGTTCTCTTTTTGGAAAATAAGAACTCCTAGGGAAGAACAGCAGATCTCAGTCTCAGTTCAAAAGCAAAAAGGGATTATATTAACAAAGTTAAAAAATAAGAAATATCAGCAACTTAACTTTTTTGCTGTTTCTAATATTAGAATATTAACTTAGGTTTTATAAGTACACAATATAAAGTTAGCATTTTTAGATAAAGTACATTCATAAGCAATGTGCGGGTTGTTAACAGTGTGATTACATTATGCTTTGGTCATTATGCGTCAAGAAATATTACCTTTATTTTTAAAATGACTTTTTTAGGTTGAGAATACCTAAAAAGTGAAGTTTTGTTTCTTAGAATTGTTCACTAGAATTATAAGGTAAGTTTGAGGATGTCACTCTTATGAATTGACTTGAAAATAATGAAGATCATATAGAAATTATGTTATACTTGGATTTGTTATCTTAAAGTTGCATAGTTTTACCACTGACTTAAACTTGGAATGCTTGTTTGCTAAGTAAGTTAATTAAATCTTTGTGATTCAGGCAGAAAAGCAAGTAGAAACCGAGGAGGCAGGAGTAGTGACAACAGCAACAGCATCTGTTAATCTAAAAGTGAGTCCTAAAAGAGGACGACCTGCAGGTAGGATTGTTAATGTTTAAATTTCTGGCTTATGATTAATATTCCAATACATTTAAGGGTTGTGCTCAGATCCTTTGGAATAGTTGAATAGGCAGATGGTTATGTCTAATATTATACAAATTTCAAAGAAGATAAACTTGGTTTCTGCTTTGTGTAGTGAAGTATTTAAATTTGAAATAATTGCTTGGGACTTTTCATTTTGTTTTATCCCTATTGTATTTTCTCTTAACAGCGGCAAATGAGGCTGTGGTAAGGTTTAAATTCTATGAGTGATGGGTTTATTTTACCTCTCACATTAGAAAGCATAAACTTCCCAAATACAGTTACAGCAAAAGTAAGAGAAACAGCATTTGAGAAATGAAGCCATTAATATTTTAAGTTTTGCATTCTTTTTTAGGACCTTTACAGTACACAGCTATCATCAGCGTTGCCCATTTAAAGTATTTTCCTAATTTGGCAAATTGGAACTAGTTTGCAAGGCTCTACTAATACAAAGTAAAAAAAAATTAACCAAAATAGAGCCAGTTTTTATCTACTTCATAATAGGATTCTATGAATAATACCTCAAAAAGGAGGAGAAGCCCTCAAGAATTTATTTTAGAATTTAATACTATAATAGGTCAAATTAATGAACACTCAGTGAATTGATACAGATTTTCAAAGATGTGAATGTACATATACATATAATATTATAAGTACATTCATAGTGAATGTAAGAGCTACTATCATAATTTTATTATATTCATGTTAAAACAGTGAAGAATGGATCTTTTTAGCCCTTTCATTCTAAGGAGAAATTAAGAATTACTCTGTTGATCTCTACCTCTTCAAATTTTCTGTTGCTCATTTGAACCGTTGGGTGAATATTATCTTTAAAACTTAAAATACTGGTACCTCTATTAAACCACTATTGCTCAATATATAATAATTTGTAATCTTTATATGAGTTTGGTGTCTTGAAGGTAAAGCTGGTAGTTATGAATTTTTTTCCCCCCTGTGAATGTTAGCTACAGAAGTAAAGATTCCAAAACCAAGAGGCAGACCCAAAATGGTAAAACAGACCTGTCCTTCAGAGAGCGACATGTGAGTTCTTTTCTGATGTATAATTATTTATGCAATAAATGAGACATTTGACTTTCAATACGTATAAATCTCTTTGCATTTTTACCAATTTCATTTTATAGGATATTTGTTATTGTGTGTATTTCTAAAAATCGTGGGAAAACCTGTTCTAGTTATTAGGTAAAAATTAAAAATTGATAATCAAAAAATCTGATGTGAGTATCATTTCATTAATCTAAATAAGACATTTTTTTGGTGTATCAGGCTGTGAAGATACTTAGGTAATACAGGATAAAATCTGTAGTACATTTAAATAAATTCTTGACAAAGTATTTTTGAAGCAATCTCCACAACCTTTAGCTTGTCCAAAATAACTTTTAAAATAATGCTAAAATTATTTTATTTTTATAATGGTAAATTTTAAATTTTAAAGTATTTTGGAATAACTACTTAGTTATCAACAAAATAATCAGCGTTTTTTTTTTTTTCCTGTGTAGAAACTTCACCAAAAGGAATATATATTTAGACAAAGGGCAAAACTTTTTGTACCTATTGTGTTTAAAGATTTTATAGAGAATGCTCAAGTAAATATGTCATTTAAGAATGGATTTGCACTGTTTCAAATGAAACTTTTTTAAAGGAAGTTTTAGTTACAGAACACTGAAGGGTTGGCTCTTCGACAAAAATATACTTAAAAGAGTTTTATTTTACTGCCACGCTGTTAAGGTTTTCTTAAAAATAGTGGCATAGAATTACAACATAGTTTTAACTACTGTAGTGAAATTAAGAAGGTGAGGTACACATGCAGATGAGTTTTGTTTTTGTTTTAAAACATACCAGATAAATCTCACTCATCTCATCCCTTAAATGTCTTATCTAATTATGGCACCAGGCACAAAGTCTAGGAATTCATGATCAACATTAATCTGGAGATGAAGGAACTGAAAACACAAGTTATATGCTCCTCTCTCCCCTTTATACACACATGTAGATCTGTGATATATCACATAATAAATACCCCCATTTGGAATGGAGAGGTTTAAGAAGCACACAACATTGTTCCGTAGCAATCTGAAATTATGCTGGGAACATACTGTGAGATCCCCTTATTTTAGATATAAGGAATGTTCTTTGATTAGGCCTGTTTTTCTTGACAGTATCTTCCTAGGCCATTTCTCTCCATGGCTTTTGGCTAATTCTTCTGAGAGTTCACTATTCACTTTTTCATTATCCTTAGTTGCATCTAAAAAGGTCATTGGAGAATATTACCCTCATCAGCTGAGCAGCTCTCAGTTTGCTTTCAGACTAAAGATTTGGGGGCCATAGGTTGCTTTTTAGATGTCCATTACCTTTTAATGTAGACTATTGTCATTGTGTGTGTGTGTGTTTCATTCTAGTCAGCTTCATGTGCAGTAGTCTTACTCAAAAGACTTTCCCAGACATGCTTATCTTTTTATAATTACAGGCACTTTGTAGGTTTTCCTGAGAAACCACTGCTGGGTCTCTTTTTCCTAGAACCATTTGTCCATTTGAAGGATCCAGGTAGCCTAGTTTGAATTCTTAAGGAAAGGCTGGCAGCTTACCTGTGATTGGATTTTTGACCCCAGTCTTTGAAACTGAAAAGGATGGAGGTGACTTTCAACACTGAAATGCATTGAATTTTTAAGTTGTTCTTCATCTTCCTAATTTTTGAACTTGTCTTTTTCTTGAAGTACCCTATCAAATAAGTCATAATAGCCAACTCAAAACGCAAGCATTCTATCCTGAAACCTTTTCACCCAAAGCCACAAGTTCACTGAATTTATTTTCTTGAGAGTTACCGCATGTTGACGGTTTTACCTATAGTATAATAGTATATTAGAGTTCAGTTTCCCAGCCCTAAAGCCAGCGTCACATGTTTCAGGTTTTTGTTACTGGTATAGATTTCTCTGTTAGTGAGCTTTTTGCTAAGGTGATGGACAACCCAAAATAGCAATAGCTTACTGTTTTTTTCATTCATACTATATGTAGGGTGGGCATTGGCAATAGCTACTCTTAGCTGTGTATCTGGGCACAAACTCAGTGGAGTGCACAACTGAACTATATAAACTTTTGAAACTTCTGCTCTCCACCTTGAGAACAATGTATCTGTCAGTGACAGCTTCTTTGCAGTGGGTCCTGAAATGCCAAGACAGTGGAATAAGCCCAGAACTGAAACCATCTCATAAATCCTCATGTAAAGAAATATGTTACAAGCCTGTAAGATATTTGGGGTATGTTTGCATTAGTTTTTGTTTATGTTAACATACAATAAAAGCTAAAGGTATTTATAAATACTGTTATCCTGTTGTAACTTGACCTTTTAAAAAGGAAACATCACTATAGGGCAGTCTGTTTTTCATGGAAGGTGGTAAGGAGGACCATTGGGAAAACTTATTTGTAGCAAGTAGTGATTATTATGTTTGTAGGAATTCTCTGATACTGTTCAAGAAATAATCATATGTCTAATGACCATATACACCTTTTAAATCTTTTTAAACAGCTGTATAGTATCACACTGTGTACTGTATCATAATTCTTAAGATCTATCCCATTTATAGATGTACATCCTTTAAAAACTCTCCCATTGTTTCGTACATGTGCAAATATATTGGTTATAATACATTGCTAGAAGCAGATTTACTGGGTCAAAGGGTATTTTTATTTTATTTTATTTTATTTTAAGGTGAGGCAACCCTTGGTTGACCTCACAGATCGCAAGGACCTTGTCAGTTTATAATCCCTTATTTTTTTTTATTTTTTACACCTACAGCACCTGGTCTTCCTAGGTGGTCTCCCATCCAAATACTAACCAGGCCCGACCCTGCTTAGCTTCCGAGATCAGACGAGATTGGGCTTGATCAGGGTAGCGTGGCCATAAACTGGTTATTTGTTATGTTTAATATCTGCTTCCTTCCATAGCGGGGTAACATTTGGGGAGAGGTAATTGGTCAGTGTCTATTAGGAGCCATGGAAGTGCTTTTTATATTTGACTCTATTCCCATCTCAATGAAATTATTATCAAAATATTTACATTCGTGGAAATACTGAAGTTAAATGATTTTATTTCAATTGAAAGGATTGAAACCCATATGACATTTGAAAATAAGCATACCCAATGATAGTAATGTGATAAAATTTCTAAAGAGATAAAAAGTGAATTTTTTCTCTTCCAATTTAATAATCTCTTGAGGGTTCAGGGAAGCACTGGTCTAGTAGGCGAGTGGATTTGGAATTGATATACTGGGCTAATTATTGATCTTATGTACCACCTTTTTTCATTGGTCAAATGGAATGGGCTGGATGGACTATATGATCTGAGGTCCCTTCCAGCTCTCAAATCTACTGAAGTTGTTATATAATAATTTGTGAAAATTTCAGTGAAATTCCTTGAATAAAAAGGGGTTAGATTTTAAACTACTCATTGAAGCTTCTAGTTGTATTTTATTTGTGCTTTAGTCGAATACACACACACACACCCCATAAAAGTAATTAATGTGGTAAGCACTGGCATCATTTCATTCTTCTAAGCTATTATCATAAGTACTCATTTATTTTTGCTATAGTAGCATAAATACTACCTAGTGGTAATTTAGGATGACTGAGCAATTTCAATAGTTCAACTTGTTTAGTGATGTCTGTGCAATTCAGAACTGATGGGAATGCTGAGATGCTAGGGAGTTAAGCACTGTTTGATATTATGCTTGATTGGCCATATATTTTATATGTATAAGTTGGGAGCCTCTTGTGAAGAAGAGTATTTCTTTGAATTCTAAAATGACCATATTTGATCATATGCAGTTCACGTCTGCGATTATATTTTTTCCCAGTGTGTCTACTTTTCAAACAAATTTATTAGATACAGACTGTAAATTCCATAAGGTTCAAGGATCTCAACTGTCTTATATACTGCTATATCCCCAGAGTCAAGAAAATAGTACCTTGGCAAGTAAGATAATACTTGATTTTTTTTTCAGTGATTGGGTCACATTACAAAAACTCTGGGAAAGGAGGGGAAGGAATCGCTTTTCTATTACCCCAGTGCTACTATAATTTTTGTATCTTCTAATTGATATTTAAAAGATGTTCTTTTACTTCTATGATTGGATGAAAAATACATTCCATTATATTTTACTTAAACATATTTAAAATGTCTTTAAATAAATTATAGCTTATTATCTGAAATACTTATTCTGTTGACTGGGAGAGTATGGTTGAATGACAAGTATTAATAATACATAAAAGTTCATTTTCCATTGTTGCACTCTCTAAAATAGGGTAACTGAAGAAGACAAAAGTAAGAAAAAAGGGCAAGAGGAAAAACAACCTAAAAAGCAGCTTAAAAAGGATGAAGAAGGCCAGAAGGAAGAAGATAAACCAAGAAAAGAGCCAGATAAAAAAGAGGGGAAGAAAGAAACTGAATCAAAAAGGAAAAATTTAGCTAAAACGGGGGTCACATCAACCTCCGATTCTGAAGAGGAAGGAGATGATCAAGAGGGTGAAAAGGTAGAATGTTTATATCAAATAAAATATTCTAATTTTAGCTTACTATGTAATTCTTAATCTTATGAAACATTCAATATCTTTGTGAAAGTCTATAAATATGATTAAAAGTGAAACTGAATTTCTTTCCCTTTCTGAATTAGTTGTGTTAAAAAGCATATTTTAAACTTTATTTTACATTCTAAATTTGTCTTAGCTTTTTAGAATTATGATATAGATGGATATTAAATGTAATATAATCAACTTCTAATAACCCCACCTACATAGAAGAGGTAGGAAAGTAGAGATTAAGCCAAATGGGCTGTGACCAGTAGAGACATGTAAAAGAGGTGCATTTATATGTAGATTTTTATTATTTGCCCCAATGAAATTTGTACCACTCTTCAGTCCTATTTAATTGTACATTTTATCAGTGGTAATTTGAATGCCACTGTTTAGGAATTTCATTAAAGCGGTGCATCTTTTTTCCGTGTATAACCTTGGGGATCTAGAGACCCAGGTTGTATAGAACTGTTTATTTTTATGATTACTTAATACTTTAGAAGCCGAACAATTTTAATTGTGTAGGTTAAACAGTGTAGACTTGTTAGTAAACATGTACTGAACTCAAAGTCATGGCATAGAGGCAAATAGCCTAACATACATTCATCATTTTAAGCAAAAGACATCACTCTTATAGTAGTGTAGAAAGTAGATTTTAATTCCCAAAATCATCAAGGAAAGGTTAAATTTAGATAGCAAAAACATGCGTAATTCTGAGATTTCAAAAAAAAAAAAGCAATTTAAGTACTAGTTTCTTCCCCCAAGACTGTAATCATAGACCACTAGTCACTGACTTTATATTTAACTAAATCCATCCTAATTCTCAAAACAGAAGAGAAAAGGTGGAAGAAACTTTCAGACTGCTCATAGAAGGAATATGCTGAAAGGCCAACATGAGAAAGAAGCAGCGGATAGAAAACGCAAGCAAGAGGAACAAATGGAAACTGAGCAGTAAGTATTTTTTTTTTATTCTAAATTTTGATTTCTTTTTTAAGCTAGCATGACATTTTTAAACAAATGGCATCTCATTTTTTCATACCTTTGAAGCCTTTAAAGATGTGACTTTGTCCATATGTTAGGAAAAATCTTCAGTATATGATAATAATCATGTTTCAGGTTCCATTCTTAGTAAGAGGATGAAATTCACTGAGGGTAATCACCCTGTGAATTTTTTTTTTAATTAAAGTGCAGATAAGATTTAACTGTTACTGGCTTTGTAGAAAATGTCCTCATCCTCTATATTATTTATTTGTGCAGTCTTAAGTACAGAATGGTGATTAAGTATCAATGGAGAAAGAATAAAAGAAATATCCTTATTTGTTATATCAGCAGGCCTCCCCCAAAAGACCAGCAAAAAGAAAAGCACAGTTGGAAACCCAAGAAGCCAGTAAAAATAAATCTAAAGGCTGACAGGGTTTGCATTAGACGTGTGCAATATAAATCAAGTTCAACGCTGATTTCTCTTAAGTTTTGATACCTGGAGACAATACTTAACCATGGGGAATTTCTTTCCCCTTTTATTCTATAAAATAATTTTATTGGAAGGAAAACAGCAATGGCAATGATGGCTAGGCTTCAGATGTTTATTACATTTGTTTTCCTGGTTATCTTTAGACTGTCACTTTTGAGTTTTCTCTGAAAAGCATTTCTTTCTTTGTGAAGCATCTTGTATTATTCTGATTAAACTTTGTTTTAGTGAGGAGGGATTTTAAAAACATGCTCTAGGTCACTAAGACAGACTTAATGACAGTGAAATTCTTTAGAGTATTCTTAAATAATTCTGTACTTTTTCATTTTATAGTACATTCATAAGCCAAGTCTTCACAAGTATAGCATTTGACTATCAGCTTTCTTAGTTTGGAGGATATATAAGCAGTTTTAGCTGCTTGAGGGAGTAATTTAAAAACTTAAAAGTGTAGTACTTCCTCTAATCCTTTAGACTTTCTGTAAATATTAAAGTTAATTTTTCTTACTGTCCTTTTCCATCCTTTCACTGAAAAGTTGTTGGACTGTTTGTTCTTTTTAACTTTGTACTCTCCAGATTAAGAGAAAATTAGCCATTGCTTAGTAAATCTAGCCCAACCCTTCTTTAGTAATCCGAAGTTATCTTTATGTATTTCAATTTCTTTTTGAATGTCCTCCGAATGTAACTT